GTCACCAGCTGGCTCCGCTGGCGCGGCCGGGGCCAGTCGGGCCTGCCGGACTCCCGAGGCCCGTCCGGCCGCCCGGCCCGAGCCCGGCCAGCGGCCGACGCTGGATCGGACGACGTTTCGGCCCGGGGCCGCACACTTGATAAAAATATACCGGTCCGGCACCAACAATAGAAAGGTAACTCCGTTCGGAGGCAACTTCACGCGAACGGCTCAGAAGGCCCCAACTTCTTCGGCCCGAGGTTCGGGAGGGCGCAAGTGCGCTCAGAGGCGGCAGCGGGCATGACGTCCGCCACACACCACCGCTGACGGGGTGGCTGCAGAAGCACATCCCCAGCCGACCGCAGCCAGCCAGGCGCGCGCACACCAGCCACAGACGCTGCGGGTACAGTCAGCGTCGCACCGCGCAGACCTCCAGCGGCAGGCCGCGACAGTCGAGCAGTTCGGCGCCACTTCTCTGAACCCCGTGATCAGCCGCTCACGCGGCATTCTGGGGGCAGCCGCAGGGTGCACGCGCCTAATCACGCCACAAACCCGCCTGGCACCACGTGCGGAGAGGCGGGCCCGATTACTTCTCTCCCGTCATTTGGCTTCTCAGCCGGACGGAGACGGGGCGGCCGGTGCGTCAGTGGAGGGGCCCGTCCCCCAGCTCTTGGCCGATGCGTCAGTGGCCGTGGCCCGCGTGCCCGAACAGACCGACCGGTGTCCTCAGGCGGACTGGAATGTCCCTCAGCCGCCGGGCAGTGCACCGGAGGCCGCCCACGTACGTCACTCAGCCCGCCGCCTCATGAAATCACTCCAGGACGAGAGTGGCCACCGCGCAGCACGCGCACTGGATCAACCGAAATTATGTCGCTCTGTGTTGATGTGGCACGCTGGGGATTAACGAGCCTACACGGCGCGACACGGCCGAGATCATCACCCGCCGGTGAAGTGACAATGTAACACAAGATGGCTCCTTGTGCCCCGACCGAAAACCCCTGCACTCGGACTTCAGTGGTTTCCGCCAGCTATGCAGAATAACGCTTCACGTTGTCCGCAACGGTGCTCTTCGGCAGCCGTCCCCGCCCCTCCTGCAGCCACCATCGGCTGAGGGCCGACACCGGCACCCCACCCCTCCCCAGCTCTCCTGCGGCTGCTGTCAGCTGAGGGCCGACACCACATGGGTACCCCACCCCACCCTTGCCCTCCTGCGGCCGCCACCGGCTGAGGGCCGACACCGGCACCCCACCCCTCCCCGGCTCTCATGCGGCCGCCGTCCGCCGAGGGCCGACAGCTGACGGTCGGTGACCCCGTTCCACGCACACGCACGCCACGCACAGGCGGCCGGCCGGGTCCGGCCGCCGAACGGGACCAGGACCGAGCAGGTCGTGACGTCACCAGTGGCGCCACCCGGATCACGTGACAGCGGGGCTGTACGCTACCGGGCGGCGAGCGTCTGAGAGCTGCGCGCGAGCAGACACCGCTGGCCACTGGCCCGGTCGGCTGTGCAGGCTAGGCCACAGCCCACAAATACACGACAGACCACACGATTCCGTCAGTACTACGGCCTAGAGACAAGCTGAGCACTGTTCGGGAGGCTATTTCATACCACTCCGGTTCTGATTTTTCCTAGCGTGGAGGAATCTAACTTGTATGTCCCTTCGACCGCGTGCTTTCGTTCGCCAAAACATAGAACACTATTGTTTTTTATTACGAAGGACAGTGCCAACAACTATCTCGAGCCTACAAAGCTCCGCCAATGCAAGGCCTGCCATTGCAAGCTTAAGCGCCGTCAAAGAAACGCTGCCGCCCGTGGTGGAACACAGATGTTCGGCAGAGAGCCCAGCAGGCCTCGGTGATCAACTGCCGTCCGTCTGGATCGAGCGCCGCCGGCGTCTGGACAACTGCGTACGCTATTTGGACCGCATGGAGGCCGGCAGATGAAGCATGTGTCTCGCCACGGCCCATCAGGCCAACAGGCGGGCGCCGGGTGTTGGCCGGCGGGCGCCGCGCGGCCGCCTTTCGTCGAGCCAGGACACGGGCGTCGGCACATGCAGCCGCCGCCTGGCCCGGGAGTGGCTGCCGGCGCGCCAGAGCCGGCCTGGAGCGGCGCCACGACCCCAGGCCGGGCCATCCCGCTGAGTGATGTGATTACCTAACGGCACCGGCTCGCCGCACACTTCCCTCCGCCGACAATTTACGACGCGCGCCACCGCCGCCGACCGCTGATGGCTGCTTGTGACCGCAGCGTCGATCAACATCCGCATCCACCGGCCGCAATATGGCGCCGCGGTGATAGAACGAGCACGACAAACGCCAGCGTGCCGGCCCCATCGGCCAGTCACTCTGCTAACACGGCAAGCTATCATCCGCTTCTTCAAGGCAGCACAAAGCAAAGCCGTCCGTCGCTCAAACACCACTCGATACCTAATGTGTGTATGTTAGCACCCGCTCAAACCGCAACCACAAGGACAGAGAGGCCAAAAGCCGGCAACAAAGCCCGACAGCGCCGCTCGTCCCTCCCATCCATCTGCAACCGTGAGCATCAGTCAGCGTCAGCACCCTCCCCGCCTCACTCCCTCTCTCCTCTCTCTCTCTCCCCGACCTTGTACGAGAGGAGGCCTAGCAACAGGCGGTCCACGACGGCGCGGGAGCCGCGCCGATCTGCCGGCGGAGGGCGGGCGACAGCCGCCGTATGCGGACTCCAGACCGACAGAGCCCAGCCAGGACGGCACCCCGCCGGTGAGCCGGCGGTCCAGCTCCGGACCGGACCACGGGAGGGACAGGACCAGCGCACGGGCCGGTGAGCCGGTGGTCCAGCTCCGGACCGGACCACAGGCGGGACAGGACCAGCGCGCGGGCGGTTTGACACCAGCTGGCGGCACCGCGCCGCCGCACCGCCCGCCCCGGACACCGCCTCGGAACCCGAGCACGGCGCCCGCTGGAGCCGGCCGGAAGAGCCCGGCGACAGGACGCCGACGCCCGCACCAATTCTTCATAGGCTTAAGCGCCCAACGGTATCAGGCGGTACACCACGTATAACCAACACAAAGGTTTGGCAGCCAAGTAACGCGAGCGGCGGCGGGAGCGGCAGCGGACGCCCGCGTCCCGGCACAGGATGGCGGGTGTTCGTCCGCGGGACAGGGTGACAGAATGGCTCGCGTTCGCCGGACCTCGGCGGCGAGATGAGCCCGCCTAGGACGACAACCAGACAGGAGCCAGGCAGCTTCCACGCACATGGAGGCTGAACACGCCGAAACACAGCCGTCAGCAGGTCTAGAACGTCTGGGCTTTCAACGGCAGGACAATCACGCCCGGCTTCAGCGCACTGCGCAGCACGGCATCTCTGCCGATCTGGACGGGCAGCCGCCGCCAGCTCAGGCCGGCCACCAGCTCGGCCAGTGGATTACCTAACTATGACAGATGGTCCCGGACTACAACCCGGCGAAGAGAGGCCTGACGTGGCCAGGTCCACTTGTAAATCGGGTCGGATTAGGCACATCGAGCGGTTACGCTGCACGCCCGGCCTGTCCGACCCGTAGCCCTAACCTAGACGGCAGAGAACGACGCTGCGTGCGAGGCGACCACCCGAGCACCATGGAAAACGGGCGCTCTTTCACGAAGAACCGACTGCGGCGCCCGACACAACGGGCGTGTCATTCGTCCAGCCATCGTTATCGGCGCATTTGATGGCAAGCCCGGACATGGCGGCGCGGCCGCGACCCTGCCGGACTGTGGCCGGTGCGCCGACCTCGGCAGAGGGAGGCAACGACCCGCCGCCGCCACACAAAAACACGCCGCCGGCCGACGGTCAAGGCCAGGCGCGGCGGGGGCGGAACACGACCCGACTACCGCAGACACGCGCGGGCGTGTGTCTGCTGGCCCACAGCTCGCCGTGTTTACGTCGTTGGCGGCGGCGACGGCGGCGGCGGCACGCCGGAGCCTTCCGCCCGCGGGCCGGCCTCGCTGCCGCTGCAGGCGAGAGCGCTGGGCTGTTGCACGGGTGTCGCGCCGGTTCAACGACCGCGCCCGATCATTATCGCCCCGGCGGCCTGCCGGCGCGGCGCGGCAGCTTCTGGAGGCGGGCGCCTCGCCCCGCCTCGCGTGACCGATGAGCCCTCGACAGGCACCGGGCCTTCCGCGCTGCTCCCGCCTCCTGCGCGGCCGCTGCCCTTGGCTGGCCCGACTGAGCGCCGCACACACAAAAACGGACCCGGCCGGCGGCAGCGCAGCGCCGCCGACACACAGTCCGCGTTCAGGAGCAGCTGATACCTCCTGCTCGCCCCGGCCCGCCCCAGTGGGCATGACAGACCCACCCAGACCAGAGACCAGACTAGACCAGACCAGACCAGGCCGCAGACATGACCAGACCGGACCAGACTGGACCGCCCGATAGGCAGCAGACTCGACGGCAGCCCACACATCAGCTGATAGCCGCCGGCTCCCGCGGAAACGACAGCCGCACAACAGCTGACTGGCCGCGGCCGGACCGAGCTCCCACAACAGCTGATCGCGGTCGCCGCCGGCCCGGCCGGCCCGAGGCCGCGGTCGGGGCCGGGGCCGCGTCCGGGTCGGACTTTGGACGGCAGACGCTTCCTCATGGGCGACCGGAGCTGATCAGGCGGTCGGCCGACCCGACGAGTCCAAACAGGGCGACGGCGACACGGCCAAACACCGCACGACAACGTCGCGCCGCGACACCGGCCACCTGGCGGCGCGCCGGCTCTCAGCGGAGCCGGCAGGGCGGCGCGTCCGCAGCCGCGCCAACCAGTACAGCCAGCGCACCAAGGAAAATACGCCAAGACGCGGCGCCTCCACTTCGAGCCTGGATATTTTAACAAGGCGAAAGGAACATGCTGGGAATTCAGCTCTACGACAAAAAACTATCTCTAATGGGTCCGCCTTGACAGAGACAATGGAAGCCCATCTCACCGACAAGAACGGGGGGGGGGGGGGGGGGGGGCAGCTCGCCCACCCCGGTGCGAGTCGTCGCCGTCAGCGCCGTCGTCGGCAGCACTCACCATGATGGCCACGTAGTAGCGCATGTCAAACGCCAGCGGGCCGTCGCCGCGCATCAGGAAGTGCTGCGTGCGCGTGAACACGGTCAGGTACTCGGCGTGGAAGCCCAGGTAGCGCAGCACAGAGTCCTGCGCGGCGCCAGGCTCCGACGGCGCCGCCAGCTGCAACAGACGGCCGGTGTGGATCAGTGCGAGTCAGGGCAGTACAGTCCTGGGACAGATCCGTTCATGCCAGCGGAGAACCGACCCGAAGCAGGTCAGCGCGGCTCCGGGCGGCACCGTTCAGGGACAAGTCAGTGTTGGTCAGGGCGGCGCGCGACCCCGACAGGCGGACAGTACGGAGCGGAAGCGCGGCGCGGCGGCTGGACTCAGACGCCAGCGGTCGATGCTGCCCTCCTGACCAGACAGTGATTCATGTATACCGGTCGATGCTCATAGCTTTCGACAATGTCAAAGTCATTAGTGCCGACGGATACAGGCAGGAATCATCGTTCGGCCGGGGACATCGCCGCAACATGCTAATAACACCGTCAGCACATGACATCAGATGAAACCACATCACGAACGGACAGAGTGGCGGACGTCACACCCATCTACGAGCCGTTTATATATACACAAATATCGCCGGGGCAGACGCCAAGGCCAGATTAGTCGTTGACCTATCTAGTATCTTATAGTTCCAAGGCCTTCCCACGAGCTTCCAGTCATCACACGGACCAGTTATTTTCCACTGCCGGCCCCGTCTGTCAACGAGACGAACTACTGCCGCAGACGCGCGGCGCGTGACCCGTCCCAGGCACGCGGCACCGGTCCGCGGCCGGGTGGCAGTTGGGGTCGGCGCGGTCGGCGGCCGAGCCGGGTCGGGCTGAGGGCGGGTCGGGCTGGGCGCGGGACGGCAGCATCAGATCTGACCGGGGCCGCCACTCCAGCGCGACAATCGATACTGGCCGACGGGTCGGCCGGCTTGTCGCGCCGCCACCTGCGCGTCAGGGTCACCTGGAGCCGGCGCCGACTGGCCTCGGCAGGACGGAGCCGGCCTGCCCGGGCCCACACAGTTGTAAAACAGGCCCCAAACACGACCAGACCAGTCAGGGTTACGTTTGAGGTCTATGCAGCAGCACCAGTGCGGGAAACCGCACGATCACGCCGCAGCTCGAGACGTGCGGTTTGGCCGCGACAGGGGACAACAAGCCCGGGAGACTCCCGTCCGGCCACTCCGTAACGCCGCGTCTAGCTCATCCGACAACAGGTTATAGCCGCCGAGAGGCCGGCAGCCAGCAGACAGCGGCATGGCGCACCGAGCCCAGCGCCGGTCCGTTCTGTACTCACGTCAGCGAGCGGCCGGGGCCGGGCCGGCGGCGGCGGTCTGTCGCCGGCCAGCGGGGCGCGGTCGGGCCGCAGCGGGCCGCCGCCGGCGCGCGGCACCACCGGCTCCGGATCGGCCAGCATCTCGCCGCCGTCGCCGTCGCTCACCGACTGGCCGCGCTGCGCCGGCGCCCGGCTACCATCGACCTGTCCGCCGCCGCCGCCGCCGCCGCCAGAGGCCGAGGAGTCGGCACTGACGCGCTCAGAGGCGGCCGCTCGCGACTGCGCCGGCTCGAACGCAGCTTTGCCGCCCACGGCTGAGTGTCAGGCCGCGACACCTCCGAAATGCCCCATCGTCGCCGCGGCCGGGAGCGTCACGGGTCAACGAGTAGCCTGAGGCCGGCTTGCTGGCGACTGCAACGGCCGGCCGGGCCGGGTCAGAGCCACCTGCGCCGGCCGAGGCCCTCCGCCGGCCGGCTGCACGGCCCTGCAGCGGCCGCCGCTGATCACGCAGTCCGTCCGTGATCGGACGGCGGCGGCCTCGGCGCGGCCCGCCGCTGCCGCCGGGCCCCCGTCGGCCCGGAAGCGCTGCTGTCCCCGAGCGCCGGCACGCGCACCCCGCCAGCGGAGCTGAGCGCTGGGCGACCGGTCACCTCAGGTCGGTCGAGCGGCACTCTGGCGGCCCTCCCGCAACCGCCGGCGCCCGTCTGCGCGGCAGGCGTCGCTGGCACGGCGGCCCGTCCGACCGCGACAGACCCGTGGGGCAGTGCACGCAGCGCACCATCGGCACGACATCGCGGCGCCGAGCCAGCCGGATGCGTGCAGCTGCAGCCATCGCGGCGCCCGGCCTTATCTCCGGGGTCATCCGAGCACCGATCAGGTCGGAGCCTGCAGCAGCCGTGGTGAATCATGCGCCGGCGGGCCGACGGAGGCCGCCGGCGCCCCGTCTGTGCGCCCGGCCTATCGCGTATTCGCGGTCCAGCCGGGCGGCGGCGGCTCGGCGCACGCTCGTTGGGTCAGCGTCAGCGGAGCGATAGCGGCGATAAGCGCCGCTCTCCAGCAGCCGGCCGGCTCGGCCCGGGTCCGAGCACCCGGTGCGTGAGACCGTCGCCCACCGAGCGGAGCCGCGCCGGCCGCCCGAACTGCGAGCGTGCCGGAGTCCAGCCGGCCACCGGCGGCCGCCGAGCATAAACACGGCGGCGGCCGCGCCACCCTGGACGGCATCATGGGCGCAAACAAATACCCCGACGGCGCGGCGCTAGCCACACGCCCACCGCCGCCGCCGCCGCCGCGCGGCCGCGCAACCGGCGCCTTGGCTTCCCGGCGACGCGAGGCCCGCGCCCCGCACCCTCTCACCTTCCGCGTCCGCCACCGGAGCAGGCCACCCGATCCAGCCTCTGGCCAGCGGGAGACGCGCGTCCGCCCGACGCCCCGTCACGCTACACAGTGCCGGGCTGTGTCAGTGGCGGCTGACAAACTAGGCATGTCATCGAAGGACAACACGAGAGAAGTTTATGGCCATGCAGACGGAGCACTCGAAAGCCAAACAACTAGCCTTTACAAAAGAGCAGACCATGAAACGGCACCAGCCCTAACTTTCAGATCGGACTACTGTTTTACCGGTTCGGACAACTGGCGCACGTCGTTACGCGATGGTGACAGCGCGTGGCACGCTGAAGCACCTGGTACGTGAATGTCTGCGCAACTCCCATTGTCTCATGCGCCGTAATTGGGCACCCACGCGCCAATTTGCGTGATTATTCGAGCCATATCAGAGCTCCGCTCATGAATCACGCAGTGAAGCGGTGACGTTTCCCGGAAGGGAAGTGCGGTAACGCGCCGTCTCGTGGGCTGGCAGTGGCTGCTGGTGCACAGCCGGCCCGCAGCTGCCATTGCACCCCGCTCCACTGTTGCTGCCCGCGTGGGGGTGCGCTGCGCCGCGGGCGGCCGTGCTCCACCTGAGCCGGCCGGCGCCGCAGACTGGTTTCGTCACGCAATCAGCCACAGGTCCGCAGCATAGCCTGTAAGGGCACCCAGCGCTGCCCCCATCACTGGATGTCCCCACGTCTACGCAACGTTTTCTCTGGCAAGCCCGCCGTCTTTCGATGCCAGCAGCTCGGAACGCCGGCGCCGTGAGAACCGATCCCGATCAGCTCGGCCGAGCGAGGGTCGTTATTTTCCCGGGCGCGCCGCGCCCGCCCTCTTTGTTCCCGGGTGTCGTTGCCCGCGTGGCCCGCCGTTGCCAGCGCGCAAGCGCGGCGCACGGCCGCCTCCGGCTGGTCGGGGCGTAGGTCACGTGCGGCGGCTCGGCCGGGGTCACAGGTCAGGATCCAGCGGCTGGGCGCCCGCGGCGCTGCGCTGTTGCCAGCCGCCGCAGCCGTTATCGGAACATCGCGCAGCACGCGCCAGCCCGGAGCGCGAGGCCGCCGGTGCTCACGCACCGAGAGCGGCCGACCACAGGGGACGGGGGCAGACCAGGACAGGCAGCCAACAAGTCATACCCTGTAATAAACCAATCACGGGGAATTCACCAGCCCGGTGGAGCCCGTAAACGTGCATGTATCCTGCGCGGCGGGCGGGGGCGCCAGAGCCGTAATGGAAAAACACCACGAACGAGCCATCCCGGGTTGTTTCAGTGAAAGTCTTCAAACAGCAGACACGAAATCTAATCCCAAATTGCAGCCCGTATCACAATCCCAGGCAAGGCCTGCAGTTTTCGAGGAAAACATGTTGTGAGACGGCCCATAAACGTGCACAATGCCTCTCATGGGCCAGGAAAACTGCATTTAGTAGGCACGCTGGTGATTAATGTCCCGAAAAGGAATCAGCGCTGAAGGCCATCAAGTACAAGCACTGGCAACAGCCAAACATTGCCGGCCCTAAATCCACACAAGGCTTTGCCATTTGTTGTATTAATACTGCATCTCACAGAACATATTTTCCATTATCCATACGAGCAGGGCGATGTCGCGTCTATTGGCCTCGCGTCTGCCTTTGTTTGCTTGTCGTCGAACAAACTTAGCCAGAGAGCCGCGCACGAGCGAGGCGACTGATTTCCAGGAGGAACAACACACCACTCGAATGGTCTCTGGCGTGACCAACGCAACGCTGATTAAGGTTATGATGTGACCCGTGGCTGGCCCGTAGCACGTGCTAAAAGTTCGCTTTTTAGCCCACTAGGCTTGACATACGTGAAAAACGTCCATGAAACGGCAACGGAATGACTGTAGGTAGTGCGAGACCAGCGGCATGAGATCAGCAACTTTCCGCGGGATATTGAGTGGATAATCGCATGAAGCTGGGCAGGGGTTGCACGCGCCACGTGCACATGAAGTCAAAATAGATTCGCCTGCTTTTGACGGCTTTTCCAAGTTTTAGAGCATATCTCGGCAGCGGGCGAAGGCGCGAATCCCACTTCGAATTCGAACAACGAGCCGTCTGTAATTGGTGCAACCAGCACAACATTGCGCGGTGCGGGGGCGAACAGTTGCGCCAGAGATCGTACGAGCAGGCAATGTCGCCATCTCGAAAAAACGGTGCCGAATACGACAGGCTGAACCCGAGCCGTCGGCAGTGAAATTCACATCACGGCGTTCACATATTTTTTATATTTCGCCACACTTCTATTTCACGTGGCTTACCATATCCAATCCCAATCCCGCTCACAAATCAACTTTAGCCATAGGGCCACAATTTCGTATTTTCGCCTCGTTAAAATTCCCTCTGTCGCTCAGTCAGCAACGCATATGTCAACCAAAACACCGAAACGTGCACGTACCGAATATTGCCGGCGGCCGGCAGCAATTATTTAGCCCAAAGTCTCATCCATTCTTTGCGGCGAAAAGGTGAGACACAATGACGGACCACTGTATTACTTAACAATTTTGCCTAACAAATACTATCGCAAATTTTGCCTGCGTAAGTAGACCTTGTCATAATTACAGCTGATTGTCTCAAAAGCCACTTCCCGATCACTCATTTCACTGCTCTTGTGTACCCCACCAGCCTCGTCGACACATATCACACGACTCGAAATCGTGCACACTATGGCAGTGTTTATCCCAGGTTCTGATTGACACGACCACTTTTTGAAACAGATAGCATAGTTGTTCAGGCAATCTGCAAAAGCCAACTCCCTGCTCGCCAGCGTAAATAAAGTGGGAGGGGAAGGAGTTAGCGGTCATCAACCGATTTCCATCGAAGTTGCAAGCGATTTATCCGATGCTGCTGCACAAAAGCTGGTTTTGAGATACATTTTGACAGCTATAACCCACATGCGTCCTTGATAACACATCACCAACGGTTCCATCCAGGCATCCTGAGTTCGGATCAACCAGGAGACGTGATACGAATGCGTCAAGAAATATTGAAAACGAACAATTCATCACTGTAAGCTTTATCACTTATTTCACATCCTTAAAAAGTACCCTCTTAGCTTAGCGACGCAAGACTACATGCGCTTATAAGCATCATTTTGCGTCAGATTATCCCTTTCCTAAGAGTCTGATTTGTCCCCAGTCACAACTCTAGGACATGGGAACACTCACACGTCTGTCCACGGCGTGAGAGGAGGCAAACTTAAGGCTCCCGCATTCCGCAACCCTTCAGTCATAAAAAGTGCAGCGTAATTGTGCACACAAAACGGTGCAATTAAATTCTCAGTGAAAAAACCGTTTGAGATAACGCAACAAAGCAGACAACCCAGCATGTAAAACATACTGCCAGAGCCGGAGAACACCACAGGAGTGCCCTTCAAACCATGACGTCACTGCGAAAACGCAATGTCTGCCAAAGCGACGTTTCTTCCTGTACGGCAGCCTTGGCATGCTATGGCTCGGAAACGTTTCTCATCTTCTTTGAGCACGCAGCCGCGCGAGTCTGCCGCGGCGCTCAACACTTGCTGTCACTCTGTACACAGCCCGGCGCAGCGCGGCCAGCAGGGCGGCAACGGGGTCGGGCCGCCTCCGTCCGGTCGCCAGCTCCGTGCCCCGACCCCTCGCCGCCGCTACTTCCGCTCCCCTGCGGGGGCGCCGGCCGGCGCCGGCACAAAGGGGCGGCGCGCTGGCCGCCCAGCATCGCGCTCGCGCTGATCCCACACTGAATGGGTGGACCCGGGCAGGAACACCGCGCTCGCGCTGACCCCACACTGAATGGGTGGACCCGGGGAGCAACACCGGGCTCGCGCTGGACTTGAAGCTGAGCGTGTCTGCCTGGGGGATGGGGGAGGACCACAGATCTCCACCTGCTGGTGCTCTTACCTGTAGCCAGGTAACCACAGAACCTGAAGAAAATTGAGCAATTTGCATAAAAATGACTGGCTTCAAGCAGCATCATTTTCTAAATGACAGCACATGGCATACCCAATTGAAGCTTAAAAATGAGGGGCAGACAAGGCACAAATAGGACTGTAAAGCCCTGCAACCCTGTAACTGGAAAGAGGATTGTGAAAATCAATGAAATGGAGAGCCATGAAGTTTTTCCATAAATCCACTTATTATGAACTACCATGTATGCTATGGACATATAACTATTAAGCTGTGTTGATGAACTACATAATCATAATGCATTTCCATGATACATGATATATGCAAAACTTGATTCTGTAGAGAATGAAATCAGAACATACATGTGATGGATCTAAGTCTCCAATAAGGGCATAGTTGCAAAAATGAGTTGGGGCCAGCAGAGAAAATATATGAAACCTCCTCTCAAAGAATACTTCAACAGGTTTCTCTCTGAACATGGTTTACTGTCTTTTTATTTTTTTGGGGGGAGGGGAGGGCTGGAGTCTCCCTAACTTAAAAGGTAATCTACACCCCTGTCTCATAGTGGCAGGAGGCAATACCACAGCAATAACATCAAGCAAGACATCTATCATGAGGGAATCACAGCCATCTGTTCTGTCTAGCAATGCACTTCATGCTTGACATGCAAGCCAATCATGACACCTCAAAATGAAAATTTAGACATGTCAATTCAAACATGCAAGGCAGCCCTTGCACTGATGGGACTAAAGACCAATTTAGAAATGAGAGCTGCGAGGGGTAGGCAGCTACTACCTGACCTCATCCCAACCTGGTCTTGATAAAATCAAGCATTGAGGCATGGGCAGATAGCCTAACATATTTAAAATAGCTTACCATAGTGACTTAAATGCTAAATCAATCCTACTGTCACATCATTATAAAATCACCTGCATTTTAGTGGTTTGTTTACAACTTGCACCTCATTTCTTCTGATAGATATCTGGAGTGTTGTCCAATTTTGTCAGATGAGATTTGTAAGTTGCAAATGTGGCATGAAGTATGGCAGGCTAAAAATGTGGTAGGCTATGCAAAAGTGGCATAAAGAACAAGCATCTACCAAAGGTCAAAACTACATAGCTGTCAGTAAAGGCAGTAGAAACTGATCTTGCTTGTAGAAACACTTTCTGCCTCTCAATATATCATCCACTTAATTTTACTTTGAAGGTAGGTCACATGCTAACAGTTCATGCAAGGTACCACACTGGGCCCCTTCACAGGCAGTTATCAGCAGCAAAAAAGGCAGAGATTTTCTGCAAGTGTAAAAAGACACAAACAGATAAGCAAACACTTTTGCTTGCATGCTGTCAGTTCACACTATCCAGCCACAAAACTCTAGCATTCTACCTTCACCAACAGAGCCTTTTGTAGACATTCTGGTGCAAAGCACCCACAGCACTTACCGTTGTAACTGAGGCATTTGCAAGTGATCCCATTGCTGGAAGGCTTGTTGGAAGATCTCCACTTGGGGAAAGATCTTCACTTTTCTCAGGAACTGGAATTTTGGCTGTTTTCTGGCACAGTTTCACAAATGTTTAGCAAATAGAATCAATTTGCTCGACAATGGCAGAAAGAGGCCTCCCAGTACAATATACCCTTGTCAGTGGGAGATATCACAAACGTTGCAAAAAGCATTAACATCAGAGGCCTAGCCCCGACTTAAGAACACTAGGTATCTAGTCAACTTGCAGTCACAGTTTTACCTCACCAAATATGGTTTGTACTCACAACACAGGCATGGTCATTTTCATTGATAAGCCTAACCATGCACACAGCCACACCGGTATCATGCCACTATTCCCTCTCGGCGCTGATGTAACCCGGAGCGCCCACTTATTTTCCTGGATGCACCCCAAACTCTCCAGGGACAAAGCAACACATCGAAAACGTGCAGCTTTGGCCAGGAAATCAGCTGATGGCATAAAGCGTCGTGGTGATTGGCTGGGAAATATCACCTCAACCAATCACCGTGAAGTAAAGGCCGCGGACGAGTCCACCTTGGCATAGCAACAGCATGGGGGGAGGGACATTAGTTTAAAGGGCAGCTACGGACAAAGAAAAATACGGTACAGACGGTTTTCTTTCCTTAATAAAAACATCAAGGATGTGTAAAACAAATAAATCTGATACTTAAGGTGGTAATGGTTTGTAAAAGCACACATATATGCAGGGATAACCGATCATGTCACGAAACTTTCTGGATATAAAGGAAAACCTCAGAACTTTTTGCAAGCTACCATATTCTGGATCCGAAATACTACCAAATAGCACGCAACCCAACGCGATATACAACCGGCGCTTGGGACGCTTCGCTTCGCGAATCGCGGAGTTCGTGCAGGTAGAGAGGTGCGTGCTAGTACTGTCCAGCATTTGCGTCGGTGTGGCATAAGTTTGGTTGGGCAGCGTTGGTCTGTGTCGCGCGAAATTATGATTAAGACATTGTACCTTCAGAGCTCTGGTTTTGTTGATTTAACCTTATCGTCGGAAGTGGCCTGTCTGTAGTGTTCCTTAGAATTTTAAGAAAGAGTGGGCAATGGCACACTCACTGTGGTGGCTGATGGCCTCTTGCAATTGGGAGAAATTATGGTCGCTCATTGAACGCTATTACACATGCAAGCATCAAACATTTTCAATGTTACATATTACTAAAGGACAGCTAACTTAGACAGAAGCTGTGCTGAAGCAAAAATATTACAGGGTCACTGGTCATGGTATGCATTGCTGCCTAATGTTACAAAGGAGCATCATACATCAATCATTGTTCTTAAGGCAGAACATATCATGGCTAATCATTAAACAGGTCATCTAAACTCTTACCTTGGAACTGAATGGAAATGTTTTACTGAATGCATGGTGAGCTTTCCCAAGATAATGTGAGCGTCTCCAATTCAGGATTTTCTGCCTTAAACTTTTAATGGGGTATCCCAACTTGTGTTTCTCATGTGACCCTGTCTCATCCAAATCATGTCAAGACTTGCCATGTTTTGCATATACATTATTTTACAGTGATTGAAAGTGCAAAGGAGTATTTCAGGAAGCTTTGTCAGTTTTCTGAGATGGGTCCATAATGCAAGTTATATATATATATGTGCTATTCTTCAGGTGATGCTATTGCCAGGGTTGCAAGTAATCAGATGTTCCAAAATTTGTACAAAATGATGTAGTGCATAGGTAAAGTCTTGCAGCTGGCTTGCACACAGGGATGTCTGCCAGATTTTCCAAAGCTGAACTTGTCATGATGTGATTGGATTGGTGCTGAAAAATTGCTTGGTGCTTGGTGCCTTTGGTGCCTGGAAAGTGGAGAGAGCTATAGATCAAACTTCAGCAATCCAGTGCATGTGGAGATTATTGGCTTTTACACATTTAAAGGGATCTACAATTGCTAGACAATCATGATAGTTTTTTCCATGGCTTTACATGGTAATGGGATGGAGGGTGTGCACATTATGCCAAAAGTGTCCCAGGTATTTTTAAAAAAAATAAATTTATCCCGAATGGTTTGTATGGGTGACTTCGGATTTAGAGTACCTGCTAAGCATAGCGTGTTGCGTGAACTCCGAACCCACCACCCAAGTGTGCCGTCCGGGTCAACAGCTAATTTTGCCTCCTCCCTTTCGCCAGACAGGTATGCGGAGGTTTTAGCACAATGCTGCAACCCTTTCCGTTTCAGTCGGGTCAAACAATGTGCCCACTCTGGGACTCTTACCCAGTGCCGCTGGATTATGAGTCCAGCATCTTTCCCCAAGACCACGGAGGCGGCAAACATATTGATAACATTGTGGCAAAAACATCAGCATGTGTGTTGCATGAATTGATTTCCTTGAGTTTGGTGTAAAGCTGCCACTAATTTTGGTGCATAGAGCATGAATGTTTGAAGGACCAAAAGTGTTGCTGTATTAATTTCATGCAAAACATCCCAAATTGTTTTTAGGTGTCTGGTTGAGCTTGTGAATGCCACTAAGGCACATGAGTGTCTGACATGGTGGGCGGATTTTATTGCTGTTTGATTGGAGATTTTTCTGCTTTGAAAACATTTTTTATCTATCAGATTTCCTATTCAGTTGCCTTCAAAATACTAATGGATTAATGATAGCTTTAGGTTATTTTGGTTTCCATGCTAAGGGGCTGTGCAGTTAAATTATCATGTCCCAGCATTCTGCATCTGCTGTGAAGTGATTATATTAAAATAGTTGTGAGTGGCCACACCATATAAAGGTCATGTGTGTGTGGTGGGAGAGGAGGTGTAAGCCATGCTAGGGTAGGTGTAGGTGTAGGATTATGATACACTATCACATTCATGCATACTGATTTGTTGTATGCCCTGTTCTATTGGTAGTTGCTTATGCAGAAAGTGCTCACCATATGGTGGGAAGGGGTAAGGGGTAAGGTAAGTGCATGTCAATATGTGGCATGTTTTGCTGGTTAAGTCAAGGAACAGTATTGTTTTTCCATTTGCATCCCATGTCTGTTCTACAGTTATGTACAGTAATGTATGGTAAGCTCAAAAGAATGAATGCTGAGAACATTCATTGACTTTGCATGTGGCTGTGTGGGAAAATCCCATGTGGGACCTAATTGTATGTATATATATGCTCCTCCCCCCCACCACCACATTCCATATGTACATGTACATTACAACTGGTATTTTCTTTGCAAAGGTTCTGGCTTGTGATTGGCATAACTTCTGAGCAGCTGCAGTTCTGGACAGCAGCAACAGGCTTTTGAAGTCATGTCTGAACGTAAGAGATATGAATGCTCATTCCTGCCGCATGGCTGGAAGCGTGAAGAGCTCAGCAGGAAGTCAGGTATCTCAGCTGGCAAAATCGATGTGCTCTACTACAGGTGGGTGGTGCTCAGAGAGCTCAGTGCATAAGTTGGTATAAGCCAGTGAACCAGCAGTTTATGGTATACTAACCTGACTTTGGCACTGTAGTTACCTGTTTTTGCACTTTTTAATAGGCAGGTACCACTGCCATTGCAAGACAGTGTTCTGCATCTCCAATTCATTGGCACATCAATGTGTACAGCACACAACCAGGCTGGTGGCTTGACTGTAGCTGAGTGGGTTGGCAGGATGAACAGGCAGCTCTGGCTGAACCTGTCTTGACATGTACTGTTTCTCAGTGTGCACCAGTGGCCAAGTTCGTAATGCTTCCTTCCGCAGTCCATCTGGGAAGAAGTTCCGCACCAAGCCCGAGCTAGCCCGTGCCCTGGGCAACTCTGTCGACCTTACCTACTTTGACTTTCAAACTGGCAAAATGTCCAATGTCAAGAAGGATCTGCGCTTGAAAAAGACGTCTCAAGTCGATTATGGGTAAGATGCTGTCATCAGTTGGGTCTGGGCCTCTTGAAATGGGACTCAGGTGCTGTTGTCAGGCTATATGCCAGTAATTGCCTAAAGCACAAAGCCCATTCCCCACATACAGAAGTCCTGTTATTTTGGTTAATGAATACGCTACATTCACAGTGTTTGTTTATTCCAGCGGTTGTCCATCTGTGCCTTCATAGACCAATTTTCCACAAAGAAAGGGCGTCATTTACTTTTGGGATCTCCCCTTCCCTTCACCCGATGTTGACTTAGGCACTCAAGTGATCATTTAAGCCCCCCCCCCTCTAACACCTGATGTAAGAGGGCAAAATTTCAACTTACACTAGTCTCAGATACAGTGTGTATGCGTTTTTGTCATGCCAATATTTTCGTATGTTATGCCAGTTTGCAAGCATTAAGAGTTTTCTATCATACGATGTCTGGATTGGAACCATATATTGATGAAATATGCAGTAGCTCTTGTAGGCACAAGGTTGCTGGCCCTTAGATGTGGGCGTCTAATTGGTTGCCAGGAATACCACACTTCAACATCAGTGCGCGAACGTTACAAGCATTTCAGTGATTCAGACTGCGTTCCGACATCCCGTACGCGATGCTGGGGAGGGCTGCCCGGAACACGGACGGGCAAAGCCGGAAGGTTGCGATGGCACGTACCGAGCATGAGCGTGGAAACAAACCTGTCAGTGGACATCAGTGCTAATGATGATGATTATATGACTGTTTCTTGACGCCCATAGCCTTAACAACGTGGCTCAACGTAACTCGCGAGAAGACGTTCGGCGAGGACGAGAAGCGACGACGGCGACGAGAAGCGTCTAACGTGTTCATCCTAAACCGCGAGCATAGCTTTTAAGCGTTGCCTTTTCTCAATGCATCCAATGTTTGTTTGATAACGTTGTTTTACCCGTCGGCGCCTGGTGTACTGCACCACTTGGCGTCGCAGTTGGTAATACGCGTATCAATATAGTTGGGGGTGTCTGATTCGAGCTTGATTTGTGTAGGCCCTCGAGCGGCTCTTATCCAGCAGATGAGAGCAGCTGGGGAGGGATCACCCTGCCACGGGATTAACGCAGTGCCAACCAGCAATCTCTGCGGCGGATTCATGGTTATGGGATGTCTTGAAATATAAACATGATGTTTATATAAACAATGTTTGTGTTTATGTTTATATAAACATATAAACATTGAAACATAAACAACGTGAAATGTGAGATATAAACGATTTGGTCCGGTGACCCACCCGGAGGGCACGCCCTCGCCCTGGCCACCTGAGCGGTCCTCTGACCACCGTGCACGAGGAGTCGGAGTAGTCGTGGTGTACACTTACGTGCTACGGCAGGTATCCTGGTTGGCAGCAAGCGGGCGGTAAAGAGTGTCTAGCAAGGGTGCCGAAAACAATGACATCTTCCGCGCATAATGAACAGTTTATGTGTGCATGTGCGTAAGTGTGTGCGTCCTTGCAACTGACCCAAAAATATCCTGGCATGGAACACCCAAAGTTGTATCCTGGTATGCCGAAGCTCTACCATTTTCAGCGAACTCCCAATTCATAATGCCGAACCAACACCGAAACACAACTATGTGCTTTGTGCCAGTCTGACCCCGCCGGCGGCTCTCCAGCCGTGTATCCGCGCCGATCTGACCCCGCCGGCGGCTCTCCAGCCGTGTATTCGCGCCGATCTGACCCCGCCGGCGGCTCTCCAGCCGTGTGTTCGCGCCGATCTGACCCCGCTGGCGGCCCCGCAGGCGCGGGATCCGCAGTGACGCGCTGCTCATGCCGCCCATCCGTCAGACGGCATCCATCTTCAAGCAGCCGATCACGCTGGTGAAAAACTTCCCCGACGGCAAGGTCAAGACCGACCACAAGCACGGGCAACAGGAGAAACCCAAACAGGTGCGGTGCCAGTCGTGGCGGGGCCCTTGGACCGCGTCCACCGTTCGTGCGATGCAGCCGAATCCGCTGAGTTTCTGGAGTATGCTGAGCTTCCAAGGGTAGGCCCAGTCTGTGCGCAGGAGAATTGTGCGCCACGTGGTAATGAAACTGAAAAGCTAACTTTCACTAGCTTTCTCCGGACACTTACCACACGCGGCTCCCATAATGTGTTTCCCTTCAGGAAGTTAGCTACTGCGGTCAACACTTCAAGACGGCCCCGTTTTCCGGTGAAGTGATATATATATATATATATATATATATATATATATATATAGATTAGTCATTTTGCACTGATCCATACCATCTTTGAAAAATTGATGTGATTTGTTATTTATGCGAAGCTGTCATTTTATAAATTGATCAAGTGGTAGCAGACAAACACGTAACTTTTTACCGATTATTCCCGTGACCGCAGTGCTGATACGGCAGGTGGGAAATGATGTATAGAAGACGAACAAGTAAAAAGGTCTAAACCAGAATTGATTTAAAAAATGACCAATTGGCAATGCTGATTTTGGCCGAGAAAACAGAGCTTAGTGACAAGAACAGCCGTTGTGGTAGTGTCTCCCCCACAGCTGCAACGTACCTTCTCGAGGTGTTACAAGTGTCGTGACATTTGCATCCTTTCATGTTTGCACTGAAGTGTACACATTTTCAACAAATCCTGAACTTGCGAACGGTGTTTTGAAAACGCAGCGTGGCTGCTGCACCGAGTCAATTATCGTCTACAAGATTCCAGATGTTTCTTCACAGTGTCACGATTATGGCTGCTATTGGCCTAGGGCGTTTCGTTTTTGGTGGATGCTGCATGACCAAACGCGTAGTTGGCATGAAAGGTAAATCGGTGCAATCGGTATCCGTAATTACCTGTTATGAGTGGGTGCTGTATGAGCACGCACTGGCAGCGCCGCGCCTGTCGCCCAAGCGCTGGACCTGGCGCCTAAATAATCACTCGGTGCGTCTTATTTGAGCTGAGTGATGAGGCCTGGGCTGGCCGCTCCAGCCGCAGTGCCCGTTACGCTGTTTAAACACCCCGGCGACTGAGGGCCTTGATCGGTCTGGTGTCACTGATGGCTGCGCCGGCCGGCCGCCTCTGACGCCGCTCGTCTGCTCGGCTCCACGGCAGCTCTTCTGGGAGAAGAGCCTGCAGGGGCTGCGCGCTTGCGACATCTCAGAACAGCAGCTGCTGAACGTGCAGTTGCCCAAGGCGCTGCGTCACATCGGCCCCAACACGGACGACGCGGTACGTTTCCGCCGGCGGCGCGGTGCTCAGCGCGCTCTGGCTTTACTTTCGGACCGAGCTATTGAGGCCTCGCGTGTTTGTGTTGCTGGGCGTGCGTTTGTGCTGGGAGGTTATGTGCTCTGAAGATTTTGAGCTGGTGTGGGAAGCGTTCGAGCTTGCCGTTACGACCGCGCAGACCTGTGTCCTCGCGCTGTTGCCGGTTCACCAGAAGCTTGGCGGGACGCTCGCGCTTGTGTGGGGGAAGATGGCGCTGACGACGCTGCGGTAATGTTGCAGGTGGCTCTGCAGTCGCTGGCTACGGCGCTGCATTCGGGCAGCACGCCGATTACTGGCCAGGCAGCCGCCCGGCAGGCGCTAGAAAAGAACCCCGGCGTCTTTATGAACCCCCAGCAACCACTCGTGCAGGTAATTTAAATGTTTTGTCGCGTATTTGAAATTCAATACGATCGCCGCAAGGTCGTGGGAGTCAATGTTTGGCGTCCTTCCTATTACGCTGATCAGAAACATATGGCGCATCTTCATTTATGATTCTCTGATCCGTTTGTTTCCTATTAGGTCATCAAGACACGGTCTTTGTTGGCACGGTCGTTATTGGCACTATCATCGGGACATGATCGCATATGTCTTTTGGCCGGCTATGGGCGCCGTAGATACAATGTTACGTTTCCAGCGTCGCTGACCCGTTTAATCCCTTCTGTCCACGCTGGAGCCCTCCCTGAGTGCTCCCTGTTGGCCGTCTCCAGAGCATCAGCATCACGGAGGAGGACGTGCGGCTACAGGAGGAACGTGTCTGTCGCGCCCGGAAGACCCTGGAGAACGCCTTGGGCGCCCTGCGCCCCTAGACTGCGCCGTTCGTGCCTCCAGCGCCCGGCCACGTGCCGCCGGAAAAGTCTCTCAAGAGGAGCTCTTCCCTCATAAAGCCGCGCCGCGTGGGCGTGCCCGGCGCCGCCGTTGTGGCAGTTTGCAGTTGCGGAGGTCGCCGACTTCACCCCGCCAGAGTCAGTCGGACGCGCGGCGTGAGGGGACGCTGCTGCCGCTGTCACAAGTGATGCCAGACCCCAGATGTGGTTTGCAGAGAAGGTCCGTGCGGCGGTCGGACGAACCTCGTCAGGGTTTCTCTGCGCCGACCAAGGACAGCATCACCATCCGAGTTCGCTCAGGCCGTGATGGGCCGCCTGAGCCGGCCCGTGCTGGCGGTTGTGTGGGCCGGACCTCGTGCCTGAGGCGGCTACCCTTCGGCTGACGGAGCTCCAGCTGCCTGTCTGTCAGGTGCGCCCAAAAGATCATGGAGCCCCAGCTGTTTGCCTGCCAGGGGCGCTTGAGTGTTCACGGAGCTCCAGCTGTCTGTCTGCCAGGCGCGCTCGAATGATCACGGGGCTCTGTCTGTCTGCCAGGCGCGCTCGAATGATCGCGTAGCTCTGTCTGTCTGCCAGGCGCGCTCGGATGATCTTTCATTTCCGTCATCAGGGGTGGCGAGTGTCGGCAATGAGCGCTAATTGCCAGCTCAAGAAAATATCTGTATGTATTTCTGTCAAGACCAGTGTTCCCGATTTTTATATAGTGGCTCTCTTCTCCGTCACGTGGTCTCACAAAGTGTTTGTTGTCACAGCGCCACGCTGTGCCCAGCCGTGTTCGTGTTCATATGACTTCGATCTGTCTGTGAGCAGAAGGCTCCGCTGTGTCATCCTGTGTGTGTTGAATGGCGGCGTCTGGGAGACGCAGAGTCTGACCGGGGCGCCCCGGGCCGGGCTCGGCTCGCGTCGGGCCCGCGCCGCTCGAGCCATGTGCCTCGGCGCCTGACCGGGGTTGCCCGCGCCGCCCGGGCCGGGCTCGGCTCGCGTCGGGCCCGCGCCGCTCGAGCCATGTGCCTCGGCGCCTGACCGGGGTCGCCCGCGCCGCCCGGGCCGGGCTCGGTTCGCGTCGGGCCAGCTCGAGCTGCGTGCTCGGGGCCCCTCGCAGTCGCTGGGGCGTGATGAGCTGTCGTTACTCCTCTGGAGCTGTGGCGTCCGGCCCGCTGCCCCAGCACGTCTCCAGCGTCCGATGAATAAACACCTGTCAGCTGCCTCTGTCCGTGTGGGGCCGCTGGGCCCGATCCGATCAGTCGGGGAGGGAGGGGAGACGGTCAGCACCGGTGGAAGGGACGATCAGTGGAAGAGCGGCCGGCGCCGGCGGAAGTGTCGCGTGGGATCTGCCTGCCGGCGGCCGGAAAACCGGCGGGACGATCAAACACCACGCGACGCTCCCCTGACCGCGCGGTGCGTCGGCGCTCAGGCTTCGCGGCGCGCGAGGGACGCGGCGTCTGGCCTGTCCCGGCGGGGAGGGTGGCCGCGGCGATGCGTCCCACTGCTCTCCGGTAGCGCCGGTCCATCGGTCAGCCGGGGCCCCGGTGAGAGGCCTTGCGAACATGAGCACACGGCCACGGTCCCAGCGGAACTCACTATGCAACTGCTGGAGCGGCCGACCGCCGGCGCTGGCCGGACCATTAGCGGCGCCAGATGGCACCCCGACGGGCCAGACCCGGGCTGGGACTGGATCTGCCGGTCTCGGAATCTATACCGCCATAACGCGGAGGCGTTCAGAATTTACAAGCTAAAGCGATGATGGTGGGACAACGACGTCTGCTATTGACAGGGAATGAGTGCTAGAACTTCTGGGGCGGACCGCTTTTGTCAGCGACCTGCTGGCGTGGTACGATTCCCAGGTAAATGCAAAGTGTAATTCCGGGAACGTTCCGGATTGAGCGGACTCTGGTGACATCAGCTTGCGACTTGAAAGAAGACGCATTCTTTGAGATGTATGTGAGAGCGCGAAATGACCCAAATCACCGACGCCCTGTATCATACCATCAGATGGAATGCATAGATGGATGCGTGACGCATGCTGATGACGGGATAGCAATGCATGCACGAATTTAATGTTCCGTTCGCGCACATACAAGCTGCCATAATCCGCTCAGTTTGTGTTTGTACTTATACCTGAGTCAACTCGTTGGTGGTTCAAACCAAACGGGCCATGCCCTAACTCCGACTCACTCCACTTCGCTGAAGGATTCGATTCCACTCTAACTTGACGTTTGTTGACTTTGGAGTCGGTCGAGCTTCGACCCAGATTCAAGCATGTCTCGCAGAAAGATGTCCGCTGTTATCACTGGGCCTTAAGACGCACTCAGCTGCTGAAGCTCTATGGCGCCGCCTGTCTCACCCCCTGGCAGGAAGGGCGGGCACCACGTGTATCGATCCTCCCGTTTCCCAGACGTGTAGCTTGACCACCGCACTACCGTTAACCCGCAAGCGCACGTTCGGAAACTTCCAGCGCTCACCTCGACTTCTCCGTGGCCTGTGTTACTGCTCAGGTCATCTACGACTGAATGCAAAACTTATTTGTGTGGGATCGATGTTGTGGCTTAGGCGTATGCCTAAGTGATCGGCACCTTTTCTGAACTAAATGAGGCTGAGCTATCCGTGCCGTTTATGAACTTGCAGAAGTAGGTGGCCTCGGCTCAAAATGTCTTTCTGCTGAGGGGGTTCCACCATTGAAAATGACCATTTGATCCAGGAAAAGACGATGTGGCTTGAACAGGAATACCCGACGATTGGGTCGATCAGAGGAACGTGTAGTGACGCGTCCTCGGCTTAGCCTCGCGCAATGCTTTCAGAATGGAGAGGGTTTGGGTGATATCAGCTGGGCGACATTTCAAACTAAACAATCATGCGCGCAACAGTACGTGACAACGTGGCAGCTTCCAAATGGTCTATAACCATCGACTTACCCGACAACTTTCAGCTATTTGACGGATCAAAGGCCACTCATCTGTCTGCTCTGCGTGCCCCCATCCGACACCGTTCACAGCCGTATGTGTCCGGTCCGGTCTGGTCTGGTTCGGTCCGGTCCCGGTCCGGGGCGGACAGACCGCCGGCTAAGATGGCCACGGCCAGCCTCCAGGGCTGCGACGCGCGGCCGCCAGCTGCGCCCCGAGCCGTTAATATTCCGATGCCGTGCCCGGCGCAGCGTTATCGTCGGCCCGCAGGCGCGCGCGGTTTTGTGGCACCGCGCTCGTGTTTTTCCCAGCTCTCCAATAACCGGCCGGGAATTCGCTAATGGGCCACGTTCTATCTGCGGCCACTGGACGCCGCCAGCCGCGATTGTTTTTGTGTTGGGCAATGCCGGATGCGTGTGACCGTGGCAGTACGGCGGCTGAGCGCTGGCACGGCAGCGACGCTGGCGCACGCAGGCAACACAGGCGCACCGCGTAGTGGTGCTTCGCTGGGGCAGCCCACAATGGGCGCTGGCACGGCAGCGACGCCGGCGCACGCGGAAGGCATGGGCGCACCGCGCAGCAGCGCTTCGCTGTGGGCAGCCCACAGTAGGCGCAAGTCAACGTAATCGGAATGATGAACTGTTTGCGCTGCTGTATTTTATGGTAACGCGTGGTTTGGGATGCGGCCAGCAAGGCAAGCTCATTGGACGTTTTCCTGTGCGTGTTTTGCCATCTTTCTGTAGGCGCCAAGACAACATCAAGTTGGAGGGCAGCGTTTTTTTTTTAACATCCTCTCAGTCGTCCCCAAACTTGAGTGCAATAACAAATATAGATTAGTGAGGATGCTCATCCCAGTGACGCTTTCTCATTTAATCCACGCTAATGCTAACGGTCATGAAATTAAAGCCGAGCTTGTGCAGCCCCAAGACACGGACATAAGTAGGTGCTAATTTTTATGGTATGACTCTAATGGTAATGAATAGGCAAGTGCTATTAAATATCGCTTACCAGCAGAAGCCTGCGATGCAAAAGAAACGCTTGCCGATTCTCGACTGCCTCAAATAGATAGAGTATGAGGAGGAGGATACGCTTGTTATGCTTCTACTTGCATTCTTTCTACGAAACGAGCTGAAAAGCATGCACCAAAACTATGAAAAAAATATCCAGACCAATTGACGTTTCTGATCATATCTTCACCCGACAAATACTGTGCCGTCACATTCTACTGGCCAATCGCGCTCCGCCGATTGATTTTTTCAGCCCAATGGCAGTGCTCCTGCGGGCGATCTGACGCTGCCGGCGTGTATGAGCGGAGCCAACCGCCGCACAGCCATATTGTGGTGTTCTGCTAGGACAGGCGCAGGTTTTTCCTTTCCTGGTCATCGCTGGTGATGTCAAATGAAGAGTGAACTCTGAAAGCGAATGCAACACAAACTGATTCCGTCCAAGCCCGGGAAGTAGGGTGTGGGGGGCTTTAGTAGGGACAATATTAAAAGATTACACATCGCACATTACGCAAACCTGTTCGTGCCTTACAGTCCGACTCTCTCAGCTCAAGTCCCATATCAATGTGGAGCTTCCGTTCAGAAACCTGGTGATATATCAAAAGACTATGCCTCCATTCAGTGCACCTTCTGATATTCAACCTCTGCCGATAAAGACTAAATTGGTGAGCATTGGAATATTAGTTAGTTGTGCTGGACGCCAGGGAAAGGTGACGCATGCATATTGCAATGAACACATGCTAAACAATTGGCTGAAAAACAAAACAAAAAAAAAACAAAACACAACTAGCTGCATTTAACCACAATGCTGACGCAGGTCCAGGTGAAAGGAAGTCAATTACTAATATGGGCAAAAGGATAGGGATTATTAAGCATCATAACGGTTATAAGGATCACTACACTACCATTGATTAATATAAGTAAAAGGCAGGAGCAGAACTATGTAGAAGCAGATGTCATTCAGACAGAGTAGTGAGCCACTGAATTAGGCCGACAAACGAAGCTGTAGGAAGTCGCTGTCCAGCAACATTAAGAAGCCGCTAATTGGCCGTTTTCGACGGGTTTTAAGTTTTTAGCTATTCCTCGGCACACAGTGGAGGTAGAAACGCGAATCTTTTTCCCTCAACATTCACAACTGAAGCGACTACTCTATCATTGTGCACCGCAAGTTTGTGCAGCGCACCGTTGCGCTGCAAACTGCAGACAAGTTGCGAACGGCCAAGTTTTAAAAGTCGGCGCCGAATATAAGCCGCTACTGTTAAAACTATTCATACTTTAACATTGAAAACTACATCAGTGTGTTGGTTGATTCATTCTCTCTCCCTTTTACACCCTTTTGCTCATGATATTTTGCAATGGTTCGCTCCCAACTGAGCCTAGACTAATTGGTTACATGGCGACTTTTTACGACGCGACGAGGCAGTGCTGTCCGGTGCCCCGGCCGACGCCGGCGGTTGCCTCAAGGTTAAACGGCTGTGTGATCACGTGACTGGCTGTCGTAATTAACTGCCTTCGACCGATTATGCCATCTCGCATCGATATCTCGACAACAGCGGGTGGAAGCGGTTCGGGAGTCGCACGTTAAGATGTGCCATGAGAAATGCTACGTTCGCACGTATCATGTGGCACGTGCTTAAAGATGGATTTTGCTCTCCTCCACGGGTCAGACGTTTTGTGCCAAATCTCGGCACCCAAGGCGCGGACACACTCGGAAGTGGCACGCTTCGATAGGGAGTGGCAGGAGTAAGATGACATTGATTGGTAACACGTGGCACATGTCATGGTAACGAAGTATTGAACTATGCATTCGGCTATTCCCGCCGCCTGAGCACGAAGCGACTCGAGAGTGCCATGCTTCGATAGGCAATCTAACGGGCAATCATGTGGTGTAAGATGTAATGCCGCACGTGCCACGTTCCACGCGCATGCTAGCAGTAAAGATCCACGTCGCTGATTTCGTCGGTTTTAGTTTTAGGTCGCATTCCCGCACTCAAAACATGTAGCCGCACGGGACTGGTATGCCGCCATAAGGAATTAAACGGCCAGTC